CACATTCCTGAAAGCTTTGTTCCACTTTGCTCAAACATCTCTTAAAAGGGGCCTAATCCAATTTGTCCAGTGAAGAGCAGGACTAAACCCACAATCTGCCTTTGGACAGGCCCCACGGGGTCAGTCCAAGCCTCAGCCCACACTGAACATGATGAAGTACCTTGCAGAATTTGGGCTTTAGTAGAAAGTAATGCTCTGAAATTATGAAATAAATAGAAAATGGGAACTGATATTGATTTTTCTAGCATTTTACACTCAATTATTTTGTGATTATTCTACCACAGGATGAAGTACAGCCAAAGCTCTTATTTTATAAACAATGCAAAGTAAGGAGACAATTATTTTTTTATTGGGATCATCACACTAAGGATGCTTGTGTAATAAATTGTTCTCTCAAAGTGGAAGAAAAACCCCCACAAATGAGGCTCTGTTCTGATTTTTTTCATGCAACTACAGATGAGGTCACTCATCTTTGGGCAGAACTCTCTTTACGAATTGAATGCTGTACTAAAACATATATTTATTCCTCCTCTTTGAAATATGTATGACTCAGGATCCAGACTGAGTAAATGCCTCTTATATTTAAAACACAGCTCTAGTTTAATGTAGATATATCCTAATTTGTACATCTAGCTGTGACAGAAATGTCACTTTATTTACTCCTGTATGAACAAGACATATTTCTACAGCTCACAAAGTCCAGTGGAGTTATTTCATCCCACAGGCACAACTGGTAAATTTGCACCTTTGGGGTGCAAGTCACCCCTGCAGTGCTGCTCAGTGCCTGTCACTTTACCCCTTGCCCACGTCACCAGTGACACTGAGCACAGCCCAAGTGCCACCCCAAGGAGCCAACCAGCAGCATCCCCTGCTGCTCTGCCAGCTCTCAGCACTGCTGTGACACCATCAGGCGAGGCTGCTGCATGGAATTTCAACTCTATGGAAACACAGCACAGCCTCAGGACTTCGACCTTTTCCCATACATTGCTGCAGTTGCTACAGGGAACTTATTGTGTAACTTGGAAGAAGTTACCTCAATGCCACGGAAACATATTCCTAAGTAATGTAGAAAGGCTCTAATTTTAAAGCAGTTAATCCCACCCTTCTGTATTGGAAAAATACCTGTAAATCAAAAACTAATTTGGAGCCAGAATGGTATAATAGAGAAAATGCAATGAAATATTAGTTTAACCACATAGATTAGGGTGAACTTTGAACAAGGATTGCCAGCATTGACAGGTGATCTTGCATTTGTCAGCTTTTCATCCAAATTCTATAAAATAGGACTGACTACAAAACAGGTTAAGTAAAAATTGGGTTTTTGATCCCCCAAATGAAAAATAAGAATGCTTAGAGAGGGAAGTAATATATTCTGAGGCAGAGGAAAGAAAGGCTGGAATGAGGCTTTCAGGTACCAAACAACCTTTTCCATGTAGGTTATTTATGTCAATCAGTCTCTTCCTCTTCCTCTGTCTTTCTATTTCTACATCATACAAAATTATATAAATTAAATACTCCATGCTTCACCCATTTCCTTACCTGCTTCTTGTTTAGTGGCTAACTTGGCTTACAGATCAGTCCAAGACTTGACAGTTAATAATCCTGTTTAGATAATCTGCCTCTAGATTCTTCTTCTTTGAACTGCCTCTAAAAAATAAACAGCTATTAAAATAGCTTCTTTTTAAATCACTCCTAGCACAATGAGAATAAAAATAGCATCTCACATTTTCCATAGTCAATAATCTGCCCCTCAAGTCAGAGGAAGCTGCTAACGTTCGGCTTAGTTCACTCCTAAGAAGTTGCATTTTTAATGCACAGATCATACAGCAATTCCTTTTAAAGTGCTGCTCTGCTGTGGACTTGATCAGCAGCTCACACCAGGTTTTGATTTGCAGCGCAGTCATGGTGCTCACCTCCTTAATGTGGTTCAAAGCAATGAGCACTGGTATCCCTTACACGCAGAGAGAAATGCAGGAAAAATCACTATTTAAAGATTGCTTTCAGTGCCCTTCCTTAGGCTGAGATCAATCCCACTATGGAAGGGTAATTTGAATTGCAACTTCCCACTCTAAGCCTTTCATTTCTCATGCTGAACTTTCACTCCTCATCAAGCCATGCCCCTTCAACTACCCAGCTGGAAATACCTGAGTAACACTTTTGTTCTGGGCAGATGAATGGGTTTGTGTTACAAAACCAGAATTACAGTTTATTTGATCTGCCTACTTCCATAAAAGACATAAAAAGCTGTTTTCAATGGCAATCAGAGGTTTCAGTGAACCTCTGCACCAAGAACTATCCCCGGGTGTAGCCTGCAACAAATATTGATGTTTTGGGTGCAATATTTCCTGACAACATATAGGAGAAAGAATTTCATAGTATAGCAAGCAAATCAAGGTCAGAATCTTAAACAGATGCTCTATTCTCCAAGAGGTTCCACATCATCATTACTAATATTTTGGTGATGACTGATGTGACAAATTTGTCAAATCTTATAACCAGGATAAATCTCTAAGAAAATTGTAGGTAGGTTATCAAACACTGGAGGAAAAGACAAAGATAAATGTTTACCTTTTTTATTGGGCTGCTAATCACATCTCTCATTACCTTCAGATCTATCCTCTTCCAGGAACAGTTCTAAAGGACAGAGTACCCTCACAGGCTAATTTCCTTCCTGTATTGATCTGAAAAGCACTTAGGAGAGCAGGTGGCACACACTCAGGAGCTGCAGCTTTTCTGAGCTGAGAGTTTCTACTGTAATACTTCAAAACAAATTACATCTTTTATTTTAGACAACAGCCCTTAAGAAGACATAACATAATACATTAGGGAGGCCCTCTCTATCAGAAGTTCTACACGAGAAGGCTGGTGTTTAGTGCTTTCCTCTCCCTGGAACAGCGCAAACATTCACCAGAATCCTCCCCCTGCGCTGCTCAGGGATGGCACCAGCACCCTCTGCTGTCACACAGAGCCAAGTCAGAGGCACAGGGAATTCAGAGACAGCTTCCTGCATCCTCCACTACAGATTCCACAAAACCTCACAGTGACATTCTGCAACGAACTCTGCACTTCAATACAGCTTATTTTTAAAAACAGTGACTGTGTCTAGAAAAAATCACCCAAAATGAGCTTATTATATTAGTTATTTTTACTCACTGAACACCTCAAAACTACACTGGAACAAGAATTCAAAACCATGCTAATAGAGTTACCAACTTCTGTAAATGCAACAATAAATCACTGATCTTTCAACATTTATCCAATAATCCCATCTTCTAACCTCCTTGATTACATGAGACTCAGTCTTGATGATTTTTCTACATGCTTTTTTTTCCTCTTAGTTGCAGAGAGACTTGAAAACATTAACTGCAGAAATGCAGAATGCAAGTGAATTTCAAATATACATCACATGATTCTCTAGTATTTTCCTTCTTTGTTAAAGCACTCCAAAAATCTCCTAGAGCAGCTTCTTTGCATACACACAAACAAGTATTTTCAAGGCTTCCTATGACCATGAGTGCCTGCCCTCAAACCAAGCCTTCACTGAAGGAGCAATAACTCCAGAGCAACAGGAAAGCCATCAGCACTCTCACGATGTCTTAAACTTAGATTTAGAAAAGTTCCTTAGTCTGACCAGCTGTGTTGATCAGTTTTAAGTCACATAAAATGACCCCAAAACAAAATCTATGCAGTTTATCCAGAGTCAATATTGACCAAAGACCTCTTTTTATTTCTTCCTGAATGAATGAGGGCCATCCATCCCTCTTCCCAGAAATGATATCATCATCACTGGCAACAGCATTTAATAGTAAACCAAATAGGGGAATGGAATACAAAAGGGGTTCCTTCAAGACAAGGATTACAAAAACATATATACATACTAAACATAAAAGACAGGAACAATATTAAGATCAAAAGTAAACACAGGGAAAGAGAGATTATAGATCCATTGCAGCGCTTTGGGTGAAGAATCACAATCCACATTAACAGAATGAGAAGAGAGTTTGCTAAATACAGAAAGGCCTGTATTTTACACAGGATCAGTAAGCTTGTGTTGGGATGACAGCTGTACAAAACTCCAGGAATCAAAGCTGAGTAAATTCTTTTACATTACACTCAAAAGTTTCAGAGAAATACAAATGTTTCAGTTCTTTGTAAGGAAATATATGCTTCCTAAAGCTGAGAAAAAGAAGTTACAAAATAGGCATCAATTATCAAGCCACTCCTTGTTTCCTTATCAAGTCAAACTCCTTTCTGGTGTTAGTCCAGAATAAATAGTATCTATAGATTCTGAGCCTTCCTGGGCAAGTAAGTTTACACCTTTATTAAAAAAAAAAAAATCACAGTCTACCTCCTCGTTAATACTGTTTTCAAATTGCAAAAACTACATATTAAATTCAGGCCAAAACTGGAAGATTAAAGTCTTGCTTGAGCTGATCTGAAACCAATTTTCTTTGGTTTGCAGTTAATCCTATCAATAGATAATATTTTCCTTTAAAAATTCTGACCAACTTTCCAGCTAAAACCAATCAATCACCCTTCAAATTTTGCACTGTCTGTAAACAAAAACTACATAAACGTGCAATTCTGCAAGAACTGGAAGCACCAGTAAGTGCCACTGTCTCTTAACCTACCAACATCATTTCACAAAGCTTATTTTTCAAATGTCTGCAGCCTTCAAAGTCAACAGCAAAACTTTTGTGAATGTGAGTGACTGCAAGGCCAGGCCCTGCTCCAGCTGCACATTCTCAGACTGATGTTGAGTTAATGGTTAAAGACTGATGAGACAAGAAGGAAAGCAGATGCCCCTTTTATGACTAACACTACATACAACTGAGTAAATACACATCTTTATGAACATGGAGGGTGGCGTTTCTTGGAAAGAAGATGCCACTTTCTAAGGAGCAAGTTCTCCCCCAACATACTATTTAAGAGAGACAATCGGCTGAGGAATCTCACCAAAAAAAATCACTATTTGCCATAATTAAAGAAAGGAACAATTCTTTTAGTAGAATGTTTAATTTACCCAGATTTCTACAGGTATAACAAAAAGTAGACACATGCTACAGTGTGGTGGTTGTCCAGTGCATGGGAGAGAATGGGTGTGCAGCTCAGGGCCATTCCAGTGGGGATCTGTGAGCAAGCACAAGACCAACAGCACTGAGACCTCAAATCACACAAAAGCCAGAACCACTCCAACTCAGGTGTGTTTAGATCTTGCAGCTGTCACAAAACAGATCATTAACAATCTGAAGCAGAGTCAGGCTGCCCAGCACAGAGCTCTAGAGAAAGAAGTGTGATGACATCAGGGTCCATGACTCACAGTGCGTCAGTGCCCAGCATTGTGAATATTTTAAAGCATACGTTAATTTCTTAGCTCAAAGCCAAACCCTACAAAACACTGTACAGTCTTTTTAAAAGAACAAGTTTCTTTAAAAGAGACTTTAAAAACATATTTTGCTAGAGAAATGTTTCAAAAGCCTGAAGCATGTCTTTTCAGAATATCACCATCAGATGTGTAAGCATATAAAAATGAACCAAATTTTCCTAGTGTCTGGTAGTAGGGAATGCTCAGCTTCCTAATACATCAGATTAAGCCCACAATGGCATTTCTTCATTATGTCTTTATATACAACAGTCTGATCAAAAGTTTTAAGGCTCTTATTTCTTGAAAGAAAAAAAATGGTCACAGTAAAGAAGGGATTAAGTGGAGTTAACACAGCTATTGGCAATGCAAAGAAGGATGGTCATGTCATTTGCTATTGTACAATCTGGGGCATTTCACTCCATGCTTTGGCTTTCTTCTTGGCCAGGGACAGCCAGGGTGGTTCAGCAGGACTGCAGGGTGTCATTGGCAGGTTAGAGGAGTGCCTTGCTTCCTTTTCAACAGCAGGAACCACAGATGCTTCCTGAGAAATTGGTCCAACTTTACCTGCCCATGAGAAGACACACACCACTCATCAGAAGTCTAGAGAGTTAAAAAATCAATTTCTGCCAATAATATTTTCTTCTCTCAAAAGAAACTATTTTACAGCCCAAAATGCTTGTGACTCACCAATAAGACACAGGAATTATTAATTGGCTATTGCTGGCACTCTCTGGTCCAGCTACAGCAATGGTGAGGACCAGCTCTTGCAACAGGAAAATTGATATTAAACAATGAGTAATGTGCCCATTAAAAAAAAAAAAAATAGTCTCCTCAGTCCAAACAGCAAGTGTCTAAACCCAGATAAATGAAGGACATTTTTCAAAATTCTTCAAGCATGTGAAGACTACAGACTATTATATCTAATTCAGATTCTTGGTTAATTAATCTCTTAATTTTTCAAACTCTTGATTTTTATTAAACTGCACAGCAAGGAGTTCCACAGGCTGATTATGCTCTGTGAGAGCAAGAAAATCTAGGAATAAGACTTCTGAGTATGCAGGAAAGCAGAAACAAAATAGCTGCAGGATAAGGATTACTCCAGGCTTGCTGTGGAGTTAGAAGTTTATGTTTTCCAATACTGAAAAGACTTAAAGATTTCTTTTAGTCTTCACTGCCAACACAAACATTGCTCCAGCAATGTTATTAAATACCAGGTAGGAATCAAACCACTGCTTTATGTACTTTCACTTGGAAGCTATGATGGTAGGATTTTGATGGTACTAGGTATTCTTGATGCAGCCTGTCATACCCACAAAGGATGAAGGAACACAGATAATGCTTCTTTGATGGCTTTGAGTTCCTATTTAGAAAAGGCCTGCTCCATTCAGCTTGTTGAAATTTTTCAAAATTAATGTCTATGCCATGTTAAGTAAAAGAAGCTTGATCTTGCTTGCACTGAAATCAATGGAAAATATCCTTCAGCTCCATTAGTCACACCCGATGAGCAGAGCTAAAGCAGTTCCTATTTTCACTCAGGAGGTCTCTGGTCTTTTAAAAGTTCTGGCTGGTTGGTAGCTCTTGGCAAGCTATACTTAAGAATACTGGAGGTAGGATACTGTCCATTAAACAGGCTGCAGCTCTACATACACAAGAAATTTTCAGAAGTATCTAAGACAAGGTAGGAATTCAAGTGTTACTGAAATTTTGATTTTGAAAATTAATTTTCCCTTTTTGGGAGAGAACCTTCTTTGTAATAATCACAACAATCCAAATAAGTAACTCCTTTGGATATTAACTCTACATCCTTTCCACCACCAGCACTCTCAACTAGACAAAACCAGGAGGTTGGGCTAAGGGGAACCAAATCAGAGAAGAGTAGAGTTTACATTTGGGATTCCAAATTTCCTACTCATGTGCAGATAGTACTGAACATTTCCTAAACAATAGGGCCTGGCTTTCTGAGCAGCAGAAGAGCAGTGTTTTCCTTAAACATGAGCACTAGTCAGAGCTTTTAGTGATGCTCAAGTCGTGGGACACCAGAATGCCTATAAATGCTACCTCTGGAGGCAAGGAAACAGTCACTGGATGTCAGGAAACCAGGCCAATTCTGGGGAAGACGTGACCCAAAAAAACTTGTAATTCTGCTGTAAGCACCACAAAGACGAGTAGCAGAACAATTTGTGAAGTTCTGAATTTTGACCAAAGGCTGCTGGGTTTCCAAGCTTAGGATGATGCAATATACAGAAATCCAGTCAGCCTTTCAAAGGAAGACTTCATCTGAGCAAAAATCAGCCTGTTTATGTTCCATCTCTCACTTTGCACCTAAAACCACAAGACAAGGCAGGCCTGCAGCAGAATCCTTTTTAGAAGGTGTGGTATTTTAATCACACATACACACACAAACAAAATTAGCTGCAACCAACATCAGAGCTTCTGTGTTGGTGCAAACGCCCTGAGCCAGTCACCTGCTGCACTAAGGGAGAAAGCTAATTTTGTAGAGCCTGTAGATTCAGAAATGGCTAACAGCTCTAGCAATAACTACTACAGGGAGCAGCATAGAGGTACTGCCAAACATCTCTAGTACAACAGCTCTGGGTGCTGCTGGATTACACAGGGAAAGAAAGGGGCCAGGTGCACGGGCTCTTTCCAGACAGCATCTCTCACTGTGTCAGCTGCAGGAATCTGCAATGGAAAAGCCACAGGTCTGGCACAGTGGTGCATTTCTTACCTACCTAGGCAGGATCTGCAATCAGTAGCTTTCAGCTAGCACAATATGCTTTCACAGCTGAAGGACTGGCCTCTCTGTGTCTAGCTGGAGCGTGACACTGAGGCTTGGCACCACACTGAGTAAGTAGGGAGGGAGAAGCTGCAGCCCAGCAGAAGCCTTGGAAGAGGTAATAATGTGAGTCACCAAGTGAGTCACACTCTTCCCCTGCATCTTTAATACAGAGAAACATAGCTAAGTGCTCAGGAGAGGAGCCATCCAGCCTCTGTGTTCACCTGAGGGTAAAACTGACTCTACATAAACTATTCTTGATATATGTTTATCTATGTAACACATCTGGCCATGGAAACTGCACACTCTCCATATGCAAGCCACGCTCTTCTGCACCTCACTGCTCTTATTGTTAGAAAGTATTTCCTAACATTTAAGGTAAACATCCCCTGGTGCATTTTAAGTTCATGCTGGCCATAAAGAATAGTCTTGCCCTCTGCAGAGAATTTAGTTGTCTTTTCTAGACTAAACACTCCTATCAGCATTTCCTGGCTGACTGGAGATCTAGAAGACCTGACCTTTTTTGCTGCTCTCTTCTGGACATTCTCCAACTTCAACTGCTATTCTTTAGTACTGATCTTGGCCAGTAATAAATCACCAGACTGTTTATATGCCATTTCATGAACTGGAAGTGGAGATAAGAGTTCCTCACTTGCTTTCTCTGCTGAGCAAACAAGCCATTATGTTGACTTATACAAAAACCATGGTCTGAACAGGCCTTATATAAAGTGTGCTGATTATAAAAATGGTGTGTCTCTTCCCCCATCCCCTGCCACCCACACCACTTACTGGTGCAAACTGTAGCCACTATGTAAAGACAAAGAATACCTGCTGCTGCAGACACACCAGTCTTCATTTGTGTTTTCCTGTCCTGAGAGCTGGAAGGCATGTTCTTCTTCAGAGTGTCCTCACTAGCACACATCCCTGGCTGCAGTGTGAGGAGAGAAGAAAAGAATGCAACTGACTGCCAGCCATGGGCACTCACAGAGCTGTCTCTGGCAACCTCTCAAACCTGCCTGTGGAAAGGCAGCAAAAGCCAGGCAAGGATGGTTGGGAACATCCTGTAGGAGGGAGGGAGAAGGCAGGGAGGAAGCTAATGCAACTCAAAGCAGCTACATAAATATGCTCTGGGCAGTAAGAAAGTTCTGAAAAGGTTAATGTTTGAGCAGTGCAAAGGAACATATAGGAAAACCCAGCTGTGAAATAAATCCCTGTGACAGTGCAGTCCCAGGCATTTGCTCAATTGCCTCACTTGTCTCTCTCATTGTTTTAGAGGCCTGGCCTGCAAAGCTCTCTCTGAGTAGTGCTCAGAACACACCTCCCATGAAGACAATATTGAACAGTTTGCAGAAGTATCCAGGTGACCTGGGGCAAGATTCACACCCATGCAACATTACCTGGTACTCTACCTCCCCCTGATCCACTTTGGTCAAAGCTTTGTCTTCATCTTTATGTTCTTTGGCAAGAGGATGGTCCTGGAAACCCTTTTGTTTCAGCTTTGCCATGGAGACCCAAGCTGGTTCAGAGGAAGCAGTTTCCAAATATGGAGAGACTTTTTCTACCAAAGAAGCATTTTTGAAGTTAAGAAGGGATTTAGGTCAAGTCAGCCTAAAGCTAGTGCTTCACATTTTAAATCCTTCAGCATCTGTAATAGCCTTTGAACACAGTGGAGATAAAATTACCTTCCCTGATGATTTTGTCCTTGGCAATAACTTTTTTTCTGTTTATTCTCCAGTTTTTGACTCAACTACTTCTGTCTAAGTCAATGGCAGATGTCCCACTGAGATCACTGTGAACTGGATTTTGCCTTTGAAACAACATCCATCCATGCAGATTAAATGAGTGCTACAGTAAGGATTTTTTAATGTAGGCAATAAAATACAGGCTTTCTTGTCACTTTTTAAAAATTTTAAATTAAATAATTGTTTTAAAAAATCTCACTAATGCAACTCCTAGTTAAGGTTTGAGCTGCTGCAGTCTGAATTTTTAACTAAAACTGCAGCAAGTTTTAAAAATCTGTGTTGAAACTCCAACTATATGCACAAATACCTCATACCAGAAACTTTTCAGAGGCATTTAAGCTATTATTCTGTTGTTCTTCTTGCTGGAACACACCCTTCATTAAGATAAGCCAAGAATTCTCTTGACTGGCCAAATCATCAAGCCATCATTAAATTATAGTGGTGATGACCTCAAGGCTGAATTTCGTTCTTAGCCAAGAGAATTTTTAATTTTTTTTTTTTTTTGTGCCACTCTGCCAAGGCTCTGTACATGATCTCTGTTTTCTACAATATTTGGATACAAATACAGCATAAGTACCTGAAGGTTTATAACCATTTTGCTTCTTTGCCACTTCTTCTGATCTTGCCTTGGTAAGATTTTTGTCTTCTAGGAGATCTGGTTTTTTAACAACTGATTTTGTGTTGACAGGAAGGCTTGCAGGTGGCTTCCCTGTGCCCATCAATTTCTGATCCTCCTTGACTGAAGCAGAAGAAGCAGCTGGAGCAGCTGGGGGGATCAGCTTTGGAGGCTCTACACGGCTTTCATTCTGGTATTTTAGTAAAGATGATGTTCTTCTTAGTCTGACCCCAAATGGGCTCTCAAAGTTTTGTGTTTCATGGTCAGCCCACTCCATAAAAGAATTCAAGTGCAGATCTCTGTCCTTACAATCTCGATCAAATCTATCTGAGTTGGTTTTTGCTGATTCCTGCATAATTGCATCAAATCGTGTGGGTTCTTTTGTCATTCCTTCAAAGAACTCTGGTCTTATGGGGGATGTTGGAGAACTTCTGGAATAGGAATCTTCCTTTGAATTTGAACCCCCTGAGAGAGATCTTTGCCATGCTGGTGCAATGGTAAATCTGACTGGTTTAGCAGAAGCAGTCTTCAGTGGACTTTTTACATTTTCATGTGATGATTGACTGCCTTCTGCTGTTTTTCTGTGAGAAGCTGTAGTGCTTACCTGGTACTCCTTACTGTCAGCATCAAAAGATATATTACTCTTCAAGCCAGTCAAACTTGAAGAGGCAAGACACCCAATGGAAAGTTTTTCAGAAATGCATGATGTGTTGGTCTGTTGACTGCCTTGGTTACCCTTTGAAACAGGAACAATTTCTGCTTTAAAACATACTTCCAATTTACTGCAAGGTGCCACACAAACTGCTTCTGAGACAGATGCTGCAGTGTCTATTTTTTTTTCTACACTGTCCTTGAATAACTGAAATTCCATAATTTCACAAGTTTCTTTGTCATTTTTTGCTACTGAACTCCTTTCAGACCTCAAATCAGCCACTGTCTTGATGTCAGAACATGACTCTGCTGCTGCAGCTACTGCAGCTTGTGGAGTGCTCAGTGCAGTATCTGAGACAGCATGGCTGGAGTGATTCCCTGTAGCACCAAAGCAGAGTTCTTCTTTTCTACTAAACAGTGGATCCCCCTTCTCCTGGGCTTTAATGTTTGGATCCACAGAATTTACTGAGGAACTTGGTGCAACATCTGGCAATATATCCATGCCCACTGTTTCCACACCACTGCTGAACAAGTCAGCTGCTGGTATGTCTGGAGACACAGCAGCTTCTCCTTCAACTTGCTGCAACTCTGGAAGTGCAGGTACTTCAGCACTGGTCCTTTGAGGATGTATTTTTGATTCCTTAGCAGACACATCTGCAGGGTACATCACTCTTGCACTGTGGTGTTCTTGCAGGCTCACTGGAGAAGGCTCAGGCCTCAGGAGAAGTGTGGCTCCTTTGTGATGTCCCACACCAGGCAGGCACCCATCCTCTTGCAGCAAAGCACAGGGATCTTCTGCCACAGGTGTGGAATCACAAGAGTCAGGGGCAGCACCAGTGGGAGTTTTTACACCTGGTGTCTCCTTAAAACCACCTCCCTTTGCACAGTGTCCCACCTGGGCTGATAATCCTATATTAAACAGAGGAAAAGAGTGTGCACTTAAAGGTTACAATTCAGACACCGTCTGTATGCATCCACGATAGTGCAGTCCTTTAACAGGAATGCCCCATGTCTGGGCACTTATGACTGATAAATAAGCTTGTTCAGAGCCTATTTAGAAATGGGCAGTCCAAGTGAAAGACTAATAAATTTTAGTTTGAACAAACCTAATCCAGGGATTGACTGAAAGTTGCTGTCTGTTTCAGGTGTGCACATTAGTTGCTGTTTGGTTGTTTCCTGTGCACACCCTTAGCTGTAAGACTACTAGCCAGATTTCTCTAGACATTTCTGCATGTGTGTGCCTAGAAAAGCCATCTACAATGACTGGGAAAATTCTCTCTGGGTGAGTGGCAAAGGAAGAGCCAGTAAACAGAAGCCAGTCAAAGCCACCTGACACACACAACATATAATGCTGTGGTTAAGGTTTTTCTGAGTGCCAAGGAACTCAGTTTCACACTCTGAGATCCAGCCAGCTGTGTAGGACATGTGCTTCTGAACATGGTGCTTTCAGCTCATGGGTTTTTTTAGCGCTGCCCTCAAAGTTCACCACTTCAGCATCACTTTGTTGCGTGTACTTGACTTTTTCCATCGCAACAATTCAGCAGCCAGGATTGGTTTTATGTTATAGACCCAAAAGATGCCTAGTTTGGAAGGGCTAACAATTCAAACAGTCCTGTCAGTGTTATGCAGAAGAGTTCAAGCACCCAAAGTAGCTATACCTGTGTCTTCTTTACCTTCCCAATCGCTTTTATGTTTGTCACTCTCAAGTAATTCTGTTGAATTTCCCTTCCTTTCTGGAGTTGCAGGAAGACAAGTTTCATTTTCCAGCTGTTCCACCTAAAGAAGTGAAGATGCTTTAATTAAAGAATTATGCACAAAAGTTGTAGTTTATACACATGCATTTCTATGAATACTCAAATCATAGAAATAAAACCTCCCTCCTGTAATTTACCAACACTGTGAGAAATGTACTATTCCAATTAAGAACTAGATTTGTAAAAATAGATTTAGGCCTCTTTAAAACTGACATTTAGCTTTTCAAACACCAGAAGTGTTTTTACAATGAAGCATAACCCACAATTTTTGGCTAAATAATGACAACCAAAAATTGCAAATTTTTTCAGTTTCCATAATACGGAAGTTTTCAGAATCTTTTTTCGTTGGTTGGTGCGTGCAAAAAAAGGTGTTTTCTATTCTTCCAATGGAAGATGCAAACATGGATAGGAAAGAAAAAAGAAATTAAAATATTTAAAACAATAATTAAAAACTCACAGTAATTTCCTACTGCCCAGTGATTCTTTTGCAGAAAACACCCACCTGGAGGGGTAGCTGATGCTTGTTGGTAAAGCCTCTCTGTTTCCGAGGGTTGATGGCAATCCTGTGCCTGGCTGCTGAGGTGTCCAGGCAGCCAAGGGGACTGGCAGGGATGGTAAAATCAACAGGAAGGAAGCTGCTGCCTCGTGAGATGGGGGTCCCCTGAGTGACAGAGGATAAAGGACTGATGGGCCTGGAGGAAGCTCCAGAAGGTATCTGTAAAACAGAAATACAATATTTTGTATTTATATATAATGTATATATTTTGCTTTACTTCCCCGCGACCGGAACATTTCCTTTGTTAGCTCATTCCATTTCAGAAGCTTGAAACGGCTGTAGTTTTGGACATAAATCCTCATTTTAAAATGCATGGCTAAAGTCATCTCTGCAGAGAGATTGCTCGGTTCTGTGTGTTCAGCTGTACATAACACAGAAGGAGAAATACCTGTCTCTGCCACAGGGAGAGGCTCAGCCCGTCCCCACCCCAGCTCTGCTCTGCAAACCCCTTTGCATTTGATGCACACACCAGCAGGAGACACTGCTGCCGTTTGCACGGCTGCCTCTCATCCCAGTAACGTGACCCACCGCAGAAATACATTATTTAAAAGCCACAGAAATAGCACGGATGCTTGCTCCTCATTATCTCTGAGAAAGATGTCACAGTCACTTTTCTCTTTCAATATCAACTTTCAGGAAAATCAAATGATTTTCAGAATATCAGAACCGTCTTCCAGACAGTGATGAATCTCATCCTCACAGCAATAACCTAGCAGCAGTAACCTAGGATTGTGCAATCAAAATACAGGATTTACAGAAATGTTTGTACAAAAGCCCCCTAAAGGTGAAGTTTGAGTCGTTTTGTTACTGTATTGAAATGCAGACTAAACTTTCTGGAATACTTGCAAAATGTCCCAGACGTGCCAAACAAGCTTCATTCATAAAGCTGGGTGACACTCAGCCTTTGCACTGTGCCTGGCATTTGCAGTTTAGTTTTGTTTAAGCTTAGGATATAACACAGCATGTCAAATATGTATGCTGGTGAAGTCTTAAAAATCATGAAAACATCTTCACATCTCATCTACAAAAACTGTCAAGGTGAATCAAAAAGTATGATCTCTGCAAATTTTTCCAATCTGGTCAAGAACTGTGTTGTTCTGAGAGCAGAACCTGCTGCTTCTCATGGTCATTTACCATCCAAAGAAAATTGCTAATTAAAACACACCCTTTCCTGTGGAAAACCTGCCATCAGGAAAGGCTGGTCCTGCAATCATTTCCCAGGAACAGAGAGATGCTCACAAGCTCACAAGCCACTGCTGATGGGAAGGTGTGATTATTTGGCATGGGGGCCCTGGCACATGGGAGCAGAATTGAAGTGCTTTGCCCGGTCCAGTGTTTTGTGTAACTTTATAGATTCATACTGTGTCACAGAGCTGCCTCTGTGCTCTTCACACAACCCACTTACCAATAGATTTCTGCCTGTCTTTATTTTTTTATTGAAAACCCTGAGGTACATTTTAAGTGTCATTTGCCTCACTCTGGACTCTTAAAGAATTGTTTCCTAGGATACAATGTACCCAGAATAAATTTAAAAAAATAAAATTGCTGTACTGGCTCCATACAGACTCCACATATGCCATCTCAGGGAAGTTTATTAGCAGGAAAAGGAGCTATTTACCTGTTCATCTTCACTGTCTGTCCCGCCTAAACTCAAAGAGCTATGACGCTGAACAGGGTTGGAGGACTGTGGGATAAAATGAGGAAGAGGGTAAGTCAAGGGAATTATCTTGAGCTGGATATCCAGTGCTAATTATGAGAAAACACAAGAGGAAAAAGAAAGGAAGGGTCACTGGGTCCCTGCCTTACACATTAGATTTAATTTCATCATTGGCATCAAACATAAAGCAGAGAAGAGTTCTCCTGCATTGGGATGTTCCAGGAAGGCTGACCACAGGAGGCAGTATATTTTATAAAGTTATTTTGGATTATTGTTTTCAAATTATCACATTTACAAATTCTCACATGTTCACTGAAGTCTGAAATAATGCATTTGCTAATGATAGAGATCAGAGTCCTAGTCTACAGAAAAGCATGGAAAATTGCACCCAGAAATGGGTCAATTGCAGGGTCAATTTCTAGGTATACCTCAGAGTGAAAAGTCCACAGTCCATCTAGGTAATTTCTTCTGGTTCTAACTGATCTGTACCATCCTGCACAAACAAACAAAATGGTCTTCCCCTTCTCTAGGCAGATTTTCTCTTTTCTGTACAGATGGTCAATTGTACCTTGTTTGGCGAATCTGTCAGAACTTCATGAAGGGTAGAAATTTCAGGAGGGCTTCTAGGTAAACCATCATCTTCAGAAACAGCACCTGCATCTTCCAGTTTTTTCCCAGTTATAACAAGAGGAGGTGATCCAAGTTTGACATTCTGCTGCAGCTGAAGCTGTGGTTGAAATATAGAATACAAACTTTCATTGGTACAATTTAAAGAAGATGTTCTGGACATTGTAACCCGCATGCTCCTATTAGATGTGCAGAATCTTCTAGTTAACAGAAAAACTTGAAGTAACAGACCATTTATAGAAAAGAGCCATTCATAAAATTTTATCCAGCTACATTCGTCAAGGACCCATCATTAAAACTGGTGTTGGTATAAAATTAAAAGTAAAATCAGTTTTATTCAGTAATTTAACAAAAGAAGACAGGAATTTCACCATTCCAGAAAATTTACTACAGTTTAACTCAATTTAAATTTAAAACTTTCAAAATTCTATATTTAATTGTTTAGTCACATAAATTTAGGTATTTAGTCACACAAAGTATTGCCAGTCAGCATTCCCAATCCCAGGTTTATGTAGTCACCTTTCCCTCACAAAGCCCTTCCAAATTTGAGAGCTTGTTACAGCCCTCTCCCACACAAGCAGCTGAGTCACGATTTTTATAGAGTACCAAATCAATTTCATTTCTGGTCCACCCTAATTAATTGCTTGTTAATTTCCCCCACCATCACGTCCTGGTCCTGTCTACAGCAAGAATGGTAACAGCAGCCAGGAACAACTTGGTTTGTAAAGGAGTTGGGGATTCTTTTCCAGGATTGCACAAAAGAATGCTCTGGCCAGCCCTGACCCTAGAAAAATACAACAAAGTCTGCAAACTCACAAGCAGCCAGATGTTCCCTCAAACTAAAAATGTTCAGATCTCAGGAAACACCATTACTAAAATTCTTGGCTTAAGTCTGTCAGCTGTGACAAAGCTGGAATAGAAACAAGGTCTGAACACAAACTTTGTCCTTCAACTGAAAACATCTCAACAGAATATTCCCAAGATAAACATGCAGACTTAATGTTTCTGGGTTGTTGTTTTTTTTGTTTTTTGGGGTTTTTTTTTGCTTATTAAACCATATTGAGTAATTTTAAGCCTGGTTTTGTGTTTTCCTGCAATCTATGCAGTCCTGTACACCTCTGTAAAATAGACCTAAAAAGCTGCAATTCTTATTTAGCAAGGTTCATTTGCAATGTAATTCCTATAGCTCTAGCTGCCACACAAGGTAGCACAATGTCTAGAACACCAGTCCCCCAGTTCCAACATCTTCCTTTTGCAATTTATGGGCAATATATTGCAATACTGTGATATATGGGCAGCACAAGGCATGCAACATAAGCGTGCACTTAATGGGAATGAAAAGACAGTCAATTTTGCTTTGGTCTCTTTTCACAACTTCCTGTCTTACGTTTATTAAATTTATTACATGCAGACAGCAAAGTGGTGTGAGGGAAACTGAATTTGCATTCTGTCTTCTACTGGTAGAAGTTAATTTACATTGCTAAGAAAGTAACTGTTTTTATTAGTGCTTGGCTTTTATTCTGACAAGAGTCAAGCTCACAGAAAAAGCCTGTCTGTCAGAGCTACAAAAATAGTGCTGGCAGTATTACATTACTGCAGAGGATGATGGATGGGGAGAGGGCACAGTGGACTGCAAACAGCATGAAAAGAGCTTTTTCCCCCTAACAATGTTCTGTAATATACAAACACGTTTTCTTCTGCTACTCCTTTAGTTATACAAAAATAGCTTTGCCCATTTTGCAGCCTTAGAGAGGAACAAGTCCCTCTGTGCATCTTCTATTACTTAACATGTGACTCAATTGTCTTTTGCAACATGAAGCTCACACTGAGCAAAGGAGGAATTTCAATGACCTTTGGCTCCTTTATCAACCATTTGTATTCAGTCTCTGGAAAAACCTTAAACTTTTATCTGAGTGTTCCAAGCTGGGCAGTTAGTGAAATGCAATTAATATAATGAACAGTTCATAAGGGAGCTGTCAAGAAGGGTTCAGTATTGCCTTGGAAGAAGGAAATGACCCAGCAGAATACAGTATCTTTTGCTGGCAGAAATCAAAAGAATAATTATATAAATAAAGCTGTCAGAGCACCCTGACAAATCCATCATCCCACACACTTACACAGCCACTGGCACTACCATGTGTAGTGAAAACATCTGAGCCAGAACTGTCAAAAAGAGTAACACAAATAATATTTAAATATAACATTTAAATAACAGTGTAAGGGACACACTACAGTACAAATAAATGGCCTTAACCCAAAAGCAGTAGCTATGAAATAAAGAACATAAATCCCATTGGAAGAGGACACACTTAATAAAGAAAGTTTCCAAGAGTTCATGAACTGGATTCACATCACACACTAAGAGACCTGGGCAAGGCTGAAAGCACCAGGACTGCTCAAAAATTCAGCTTCCAAGAGGCAGACTAGATCCAAAAGTAGCAAATTTGGCTGTAGACACTTCAGTCAGCAAAATCCTAAGGCACACAGCAAAAGAAATCAAGCAACAGACTTTCCTGGGAGACATGACAAAAAGCAGCACTACTGATGAGGGGATGATGTTCTCACCTGTAAAGTTTTCACCCTTCCAGGTATGTTTTCCTGAGACAAGACATCACCTGTCACATTTCCTGGTGCAGACTCGAAAATGAAGACACTGTCATGGGACAAGGCTTTGTTTCCCATGCTACCCTTGGGCCTGGAATGGAAGGAAGGAAGGAAGGATGAGTGGTCAGAGCATTGGGTACATTCCCCACACCACCAGGGCAGAGGGGCGATAAAGAGGCCAGAGTGGGATGCATCATGCTTCACTTCAGATTCGTGCATGTTTAAGACAGTCACTGTTTGCTTCTTTTATACTCAGGAGAGAGGAGAAACACATTTGATCAAATGCAGATGTCCCTTTGCAATGCACTCAGCATCTGCATTGAACACACAGGTCAGTTTGCTGATTGGAGAGGGAGTCCAGCATGATTAGGTCCCACGTTAGGAGGTAGGTGGATGCAAACCACCCTAAGAAAGGTGCAGAAAGGGACAACAGGACTCCCCTGTCCTCCTTTGGTGGCAGTATGGCTAACATGAGACATTCAGGATACAGCTTTTGCAGCCTGGTGTGTGTCATACCTGCAAAAGATGGTGGATTGTTTTTTCCCTTCTTGCAAATCTGGGCAGAAAATTTAACTTTGATGTATTAACAAACTTGACTCGAATCTTCTCATCCAGCAATAAAACCAGTTGCATTCACCCATATCCTAAATATGATCAGATCCCAAGTGTTTAAAAAATGTAGATGGGACAAGTGTCCATGGTTAGAGTTACAGACTATCAATGGCCAGGTTAAAGTGCCTAGGTAAGATATTCCTGCTCTGTTCCTGTGCTCATTGGCTGTTCAGCACAGTGAAACAATGATGAGTTCCCACAGCAGCTGTTAATTGAGTTGTAATTAACTGAGATTGATTGGGCTTGGGCTATTAAGTTATGAAGAGCAAATTTTGCACTTGAGTGGCACAAGGAAGGCTTCAAATAATTTATTAACCAAGTTCCACCAGCGTGGGCAGGTGCTATTTGTACATTACTTTGTCCAAAAGACAACAAGGATAGCCTCTACCAGGATTTCATCCTAGTCTTGAACTGGAAAGCATCATAGAATATTTTCTCATTGTTTGCCACCAGAGTATTAACAAATAAAAATTACAAGGATTCCTTGGCTCAGATGCTGCACAGGCAATGCTTTGCCTCTGAAAGTTTGACTCTGGGGAGCAGAGGATGATTAGGAACACAACTCTGACAAAAAAAAACTCAGTATGTAAAAGCTCTTCTGCAAGGAAGTAAAATAGAAGAGGTCTCTGCTATTTGCCTAACCACAGATTCTCTCTTTATTTAGAAGAAAGCCAAGAAAGACTGTGAACATTCATTAAGTAAATGCACTGCATAAAAAACCCCAAACAAAACCCCTTTTTCCTCCTGCATCCCCCTTCTTTACATCTCCAGAGACACCTCCCCTAGCTGCTGGGCTAACCCTTCTGTTGCCCCAAAGGTGTAGTCAGTCTGTCTACACCTATACACAGCCTCACAGCAGGGCAAAATAAATTTGCTCTAAGTTTATGTTGTGTTGAAGGCAATCAGAGCTGTTTCTCTCACAGCACAGGTCAGAGTTTGTGCTTCCTCCCATTATATATCATGGTTATTGGCTGTGTTTGTCTACAGGACAGCAGCTCTGCACACAAGCAAGGCACTTGCCTTATTTCTTCATTAATGAAGCCATCCCATCCTTTTGTGTTTGATTTTATAGTCCTTTTCAGCACGAGAGGTATTCCATATGGGCAAGGCACAATTTTAGTGCATTAGGAAAAACAGTCGTGCAGCTTTTATTTACTGCAATGTATGTTCACTATTAGCTGGCATATTTTATTTATTGCAAAGAATGCATGTACATTAGGATGTATTTGCCTTTCCATCTGGGGAATTCTTTACCCATAAGGGCTGATGTCTCCTTACTCTTGAGACTGCCAGTACAGGATCTCTGTCCTTTTTTCTCTCTCTGCATATGTATCAGATGTGCTGGCAAGAGAATTACTGTATTTTCTTCTGGCAGTCACCAAAAAAGCACAGGATTAAATATAGAATTAACTGTGGCTTTAGTACAGATCAGTCTTTTATGTGCAAATCTACATTCCTCTGTAATTCCAAGCAGTATATTTATATGTATATGTTTATGTATACGGATATTTCTGCTAAAGATGCATTAACTAAAGCCCAGATGTTTCAGCCATTGCCTGTCCACACTGATTTCCCTATACAAATGCTCAATTCATTCCTGTATATCGAAATTCAAGCTTCCCACCAAACCAGAGGAAATGATGGGACTCTAAGGGCAGTATTTGTGTAGTTCGAGGGTCTAAAGATTATTAGTGAAGCAGTGTTTGCAGTGCAAGCTGACAGCTCGTATCACTGACTGAGAAGAGGACATCGTTGTGCACTAACACCGTTCAGGGAGCTGAGAAATGCTCCCAGGAGCTTGCAAACCTCACACGCACAGCCCTGCAGGGGCGGCCGACACAAAACCAGGAGCCTTCAGTTGTTATCTGTGCCTAAAGGGCTAGGTAAGAAAGTTAAAGAAGCAATCACACACTGATAATATACCAGAAGTACTTTTCTCTTTACTGCAGCCACGACAGAGGGCATCACTGATGCTGAAAAACACCCACACAGCTTCTGCACTAGCAGTACTCAGTCATCATCCTCTTCTTGTAAAGTTGCTGCTGATCAGACCCTCCTAGGCAGATGTCAAACACTAAAAACAATCAAAGCAATCTGGGCTATCTGCAGTCTCAGACCAAGAGGTTGGATTGCCCCTGTCCCGGCTGCCCTCCCCCTCCTTTCCAGGCTGACTCTCCAAGCACTAGCAAAGAAAGAGGAAATTCCTGGAATTCCTTCATCAGCATTAGGGCTTGTTTTGCACAAATTTGGACAGACGCTGCTCCCAAAGGGCCAACTCATGCTTTCATCCTACTGCTGTGAGAGGTCCACTTTTATTTATTTTCCTTCCCTGCCAGCTTACCCAGCCTCCCTCGGTGAATGAAGTGCAGCAGTGTTGAGCACAGCGATGCTGACATCGCTGCTGGACTGGCAAGGTTTTAAATTACTCTCTCCCCTGGGAGGTGGAGGTTCTTTCCTTTTCTTCTTGGCAAAGAAGTTCTTGAAAGTCTGAAATTTGGATTTTTTCTTTCCTGCAACATGAAAAAAAAAAAAAAAAAGAAAATTTATGAAAGCTGGTGGTGTTGCGTAGCTTGTGTAATGTTATCTCTTAAATTCTGGAGGAAGCCTCAAAGCTAGAGCAGCCCATTCAGTTTCAGTCAGCTCCTTTGTAAATAATTCAGTGCTGGAGTCCAGTGAAAGGTGAAGCTTCAATTCTTACATTTGGTTCCTATAAAGAAACACTGGCACAAAGCTGACAATAGTGGTGCCTACCTAGGTTCTAGTCTGTACAAAAATATACTTTATATAGAGAATGTATCTATTCACAACTGAACAGTGATCATGCTTGGTGTATCTTCAGTAAAAATTGCTGTCAATGTCTTTAGGTATAAATGTTCTTTACTGAGTTTGGTTTAGTTCTGCTTACTCTTTATTCAGTGCTCTAAGGAGACAACACCTGAAGGACATTCAACATTGGCAAAAAGACTGAAACTGGAAAAAGAATTCATAAACTCCAAAATCAAAATATCTGTTTCCACATTAAAGTGTCCCAAAATAAAATTGACATCTCCTCCAGGGACACAGAAGCAAACTTAAATTAAGACATTGTCTTGCAGGACACCAAAGTCCCAAATAGAGCAGCCCTAAGAAAACAATTGGAAAACTGTTAATTTGGTTTCAGATTTTCCATAGTCCAAATGAAAATACAAAAAAAAATTTAAAAAAAAACCCCACCATGAAACATCACTGATCTTTTATTTTTAATAAGAGCTAAGATGCTTCAACATTCTTATGTATATTTTCTTTCAGCACACAAGTCCTGCATTTTGTCCCTGACCCTTACACTGAGGGGTCACTTTGAGTGGTTTGGGCCAAACTATTGTACTAAGACCCCTGTGATTGACTTAAATACATACTCAGAGCAATAACATCATTGCATATCTGAGCCATCTTCATTGTTCAATTAACACTTACAGCGGTTGGCATAATGGATGCCCACATCTGGAGGATTCCTCCATAAGCAGGGCATTATTTCAAGACAATTATTGTCTTCTCCCAGCAATGATTTAGTTGGTGATGCTGTGTCTCAGCGTGTGCCCTGTACGTGCAGGGATCTCTGCCAAGGGCCTTATCTGGGCTGAAACTGCCACCACACAGCTGCATCAGACAGTGGCCACTTTGAGAAACAAACAATGACACTGAGATCTACTCCCCCTGTCTCCTCCCTGCTCCTCAGCCCAGTGCCAGCGCCACGTGCCAGGACACACAAGGACGTGGCACGGTGTCCCCAGGGCCTGGTGACACGGCTGCCCCTGGGCAGAGCCCCCAAAGGCCTGCAGCTGCTCTCCAAGTGACCTGGGCTGCTTCTGAGACCAAAGGATCTTTCAAACCATGGAAAGTGAGCTCTCACTGCAGTCCCACAATGACAACAGGATGTGGCTGCTCTTAGGGAGGGTTTATCACTGGAAGACTTTGTTATCTTCCCCTGCTGCTTAGCAGGCAATGAGTGAATGAGACAGCACAGAAAACACACAGGTTGCATTGCTGTGGCCCAGACAACAGAGCTGATCCCAAGGGTTTGGGATTTGTTAAGACACCCAGAGGGCTCAATGAGCTTCATGCTGCACCTGTAGCAAGAGCTGGCAGGAGAAGACAGCAAGCACACTGAGCCTCTACACTAAAACAAGCATGGTGAGTGTGCTTCAGAGCCTTTGGAAACACATCCTGACCATTCCTCTCTTTCCTATACACAATTAGACAATGTGTGTGGTATTCTTCCAGGAAACTTGTCAAAGCTGATCTGGTTTATCTTAGATAGGCAAAACAAAAGTTTAACGAGTTTAATGATAGCAGTTCCCCAAAATTATCAACTCTGCAATGACTGCTAACATAGTCAGTGACTCAAAGAATGAAATGGCAAACTTTGAGACAGGCAAAGGGCTCTGCAATTCAAAAGCTATCTAAATGAGAAACAAGGACATTGGCCACGTACACTGGTGAACTGTCAGCTGTACAGACAGAAAGCAAGCTGGATTCTAGTGCAGGCATTATTGATGAGCTTAATTAGATGCTGGTATTTCCAGAGAACCAGGAGTGTTAAAAAAAAAAAAAAAAAAAAAAAAACACAAAGTGAAACAAAACCCACACCAAAAAGCCCACCACACAATAACAAGTGCTCCTAAGGATGTCTGGGAGAAGCAGACACGAGCCTTGCCACAAAAGCAAACATTGCCAAGGTACTACTCCAAATACTTGTCTAGATCAGAAGTGGTGCTAACTGAATGGAGGCTACAGAAAGGATTTCCATACACTGCCAATGAGCAATCCCCAGCTGGCATGGGACAACACTTGCACCATTGTGCAACAGAGAGGATCTGGTGCAGACACATCAGTCACTTCAGTGCCTCCTCTAGACTCTAATTTATTTCTGGTGTGTGGGGTACATCCCCTCCAGCAATAACTCCTCTTCAACCATGCTCTGCTCAGCTGCAAACATTCAGCTGCCTCCAATGAATGAGAAGACAGTAAGTTTCCCTGCAGTTCCAGAGACTGGCACTTGCCATTTTATTATGTAAAAAAAGATCAAATCACTACTAGACACTAAGTGCTGGATGCAGATGGAAACTGTGGGACTGTTCTGTGAGGGAGCACTTAGCAAAAAAAGACATGGCTCAGAAGGACAATGCTCTTGGTTGCTTCCTGCTGGGAACAGCTGTGCTCTGGTTTTGCACACCATGAAAAGGATGCCACCTTTAAGCTAAAGGTGCCTACATCTCAGTGCACTGTGAAGCAGCCCAACATGACAATAAATTGGTATTTGATACTTGAACTAATAAAATACAAGAGGACCTTAATACTTAAAATGGAAAAAAATCATTGCAAAGCAAAAATCCAAGCTCAAACAACTATGCCTTTGTCTGCTTTGTCCACTGGTGATTTTTGAAATCTTATGGTTGCAAATCTTCAGTTTTATGGCATTAAAAATAAAATACTAAATTCCTACGTTACTTCCATAAAAAGGAAAAGCCTTCCCAAAAATTAGTTGCTTATGCTATGTTTTAGCCAACTATAACAGAAAAGAAGCAGGAACAAGCATTTTCCTTTCTCTGTAAAGTTTGTGAATTCTGTATTTTTTATTGTATATGTACTGCCTATTGCATTGTGTCTCCTGTGCACAGAGAGAATTAACTCAGAACTTTCTGCTCTTTGAATAGTTCTTCCCTATAACAAGACAGAAAATAAAAGGTTGCTTCTTCCAGTGCAAAAATTGAAACTGCAAAAAACATAGGGAACATCTGATTTGGGATGTCAATGATCACATTCAAATTAAACCATTCATTTGGGAATCTTCTATGGTCTCTGACTTCCTAGGGTGCATTCGGGATGAATTTTCTATCTTTTGTTTCCCTCAAATCCAAGGACTAGATAGTTTCAACATTTAAAACACCTGGGAAAAAACCCCAACCCAGAGACAAGATTCTCAGAAAGTGTCATGATTGTATCTTCATAAAAATACCAGATATTGGCAGACAGACAATAAAATCATGGAATTCAGTATCACCAGCATTGGGTGCTGACAGTTTTTGGACAGCAACCTGGTTCCTGCCACAGAGAAGGAGCAGCATGCTCTGGAAGCCTTGCACTACAGACAGCAAAGCAAACCTCAAGAAATCAGTCTAACTGACTGGACTGTGAAGGGTGGGGATTTCACCCTCCCAGAGCCTTTACATCATGAGCTAATTATGAAGAGGGAGAGGTGAAACAATCCTTCATTACCTTTGGAAGAAAACAGAAGATTCTAAAATGGCTTTGTCCAGGTCCAGCCAAGTGTCTCCTGAACACCTTGGCAACAGCACAGCAGCCTTTAACTACTTAAAATTTTGTTAATTTAGGGTCAGAAATATTCCTGGTGGATTTAGAGGCAACACTTCAGATCATGAACCATGTCCTGCTTTTCCTATCACCCAGGTCAGAATTTGACCTCTTTTCTGAATCTTCTGGTGAACCTGAGTACAAAATTTTCATGCATTGGCTTCACAAAGCTTACCAGATTGCTGGGATAGCACCAGACTGTGTGACAAACTAGATTATAAATCTAAGAAACCAGACAGTGCTGAGCATCTATCATTACACTTTCTTCACCTCTATCCATCTGCCAAGCAGAGTTCAAGTAACAGTCTCTTTGCAATTTGCTTATCTCTTCTAACAATATTTTGATAGTGGCAAATGTATTTCTAAAGGATAAAGCAAGATGACCTTTAAAACACAAACATTTAAGATGATTGCAAAACATTAGCCAAAGAAAAGAGAGAAAAAAATCAAATGGTGTGGCAGCCACTTCTCCAAGATGCTTCAGACATGATGCTATTCCCCATATTCAAACTGGCAAAGGGGATATCCTTTCATGTAGACAAGTCTCTGGCATAAGTAGGATATTTTCATTTCTTACCTATTATTCCATCCCCTCACACTGTTTGCATCAGACCATGCCACTAGATTGAAGAATAAGTAGCAAATGGCTGCAGAGAGAGAGGCTGCTGGGGTACTGATAGAGCTCCCACAGACAGGGGATTGTTAACAGGCTCAGCTCCCCCTCTGCAGGGTCCATCAATGCAGGCACAACCATCAGCCCTTCAAGCTCTAACATCCTGCTTCTAAAATCCAAGTCAGAATCAAAAGGAATATCCTCCAACAGGATATGTCGCTCCAGCATTGCACATTAAAACATCTTTTCCATAATACCGACAGCTGACAAAGACAAACAGAATTTTCTTTACTCTACAGAAGAAGCCCCCAAAAAACAACACTCAAAGCAGGTCACTACAGACCTGACTAATTGAAGAAAAATCTTCCAAATGAGCTGCACATTCAGAGAACAGCTGCTTACCTGTGCACTCTTCGACTGTGTCTCCAGTTTCAGGTGACTGTGTGACCTCTGTGGGCCTCGTAGCCATTATATAGTCACTGAAACAGAGGTGAAAGCATCAGTTAAATTTTAGTCCATCGCCCCAGCAGAACATGGTCCCACCCAGCATGAAGAAAGAACACAGCTGAATCCTTTCTAAAACTACATGACCCGGTGGCTATCACAACCGTGCCTGGCACACTTTTGTGCACTTTGGCCACAGAACTTTTCATTTTCCAGTGACACTTCTCCAGCCACAAAATCCAGTCTAATCACTGCCAGCACCTCTGTCTTGTAGAAGACCAGAATCAAAGCTTGCTTTCAGGAAAGATGTCATTACACTTGCTCAGCAAACACTGTAATGCTTCCCACTCTTAGAATAATGAACCTTTGCTGGGGAGTGACAGCTCCACACTACTGTAAAAAACAGAAGTGCTCAGCTGCCCAGGGTTCATCCATTACAGCGTCCTCACAGCAGGCACCAGTCTAGTCTGTCATCATTATTAAAACCAGTTAAGCATCAGCACTGAAACATCATTCCAGGCTATGCTACATTTGTGGAAACCAATAGATCAAATTTATTTTGGATCCAGTGCAATCAGCTTTTAACCACAAGCTCTGAAACCTTATCGCCAGCAGGGCTATTGATCAACCAAATTAGCTGATGGCATCATCTTCCTCCCTGATGAAAACAGAAGTTCAGCCTAGTTTTAAGATCATTCATTGGTAACTGGCTCCACTTTGTATTTTCCAAATGGGTGTCTGCCACAGACAAAGGAATGAAGCAGCAGACCACAGGAGTTACAGAACAAATGTCAAGCAACAATGGAAATGTGACAGTTTAGCAGGGCAGCTCATAAATACTGTCCTTTGTTATGGAAGCTACCTCAGTGATACTTTTATATAAGTAGAGGTTCCCATATGCTGTCAGGACTCAAAGAGTAAGAATCTTTACAACCAAACCCTGCTCTCTTTTCTGCATAGATCACATCTAACAATTTTCCACATTTAGGTGCTCTAACAATACAGCCAAGCCAAGTATCTCAACAGCAAACAAGACTGTGATTCTGTACTAATTTGGCCAACCACTAAACTCTTCTATTTATTCTGTATCACCCACATACTCTAAAATCTGTCATGCCCAAAAGCACTGGGACCGTTCTATGAGCCCACATCCTCAGACAGCCTTAAAAGACGAGGTGCACAAACTCAGGGGCAGAGGTGTCTGTGGAGCAGCTCATGGAGGTGAAACAGGCAGGGCTCCTGTGACAAAAGAGGCCATGGAGAAAAGCATTCCCTGCACTGCCCACACAGACATGGCAACTGTAAAGCTGCTGAACTCTGGGGAGGAATTGAGGAGGTGTAAAAGAGAAGCAAAGTGCAGTCAAACAGATCCCCTGCGAGCACTGGGCACAGGAGAGCATCAGCACAATCTAGTTCCAAATAATCTCACTTCAACTTGTTAAAAACCAATGAAAATATTATTGCAACAACCAGGACTGATTACACCTTTCCTAACTGAGATGTACTGAGGTTGTTCTTGAAACAATTGTCAGACAGCATTGACAAGCAATAAAAAATAAGATTTCTAAGTTTCCTTCGGATGATCATAACCATTCAACTTTTATCCTTTTTTCCCCCTTGTCTCATCAATTATCTATGAAAATGTTTGCATTTCCTGCATACTTTTTTTAAAAGCAGTCATGAGTAGACTTTCTTATAGACTCTTTCTTTATATTAAAAAGAAATTTGGTTCCAATTTTTCCTCTCAACTTTATACACCATGCACACTGTATTAGATTTTTCTGAGGTAAAGGGAAATGCATTAAAAATAAAATATTGAGAAAGCATTCAACAAATTTACAAGGACAAACTGACAAGTCTCCAGACTTGAGTCTATTTTCACAGAATTTGAGTGGACCTGGAATTTGGCTCATCTTGATCTCTAACTTCTGCTTTATCCACCTTCAGTTAAACCAAAGCAAGAGGAAATTGATGTTTTCACATCTAGCTTTGTTTGCATCAGTTCAACATTTATTTAACTCAGTCATCTCAGCTGCTCACTCAGAATCCTTCCAGCCTTTGAAGATATTTTGACAGAAGTGTTTATTGTAACTGCAGGCATATATTTCCAACTGGTATATCTTTTATACAAGTAGAGCTCCAACTGCAAAGCAGCTCTGAGTTCAGTTCTTCACAGTCAAATCAGCTCCAGCATTAACTCAATTTTATAGCTGAGTTCTCTGGGGCACATGGAGCTCAAGTGTCAACTACAAGGGTGCCCCATTTAGGACCTCATCATCTTTTTCCAGTGAACTGAACATCACAGATTTTCTCAAGCTTTGAGTTAATTGAAGTAGCTGAATTACAGTAAAAAACCCATATAATATGTGGTGTATATATTCCACCAGCAAAGTGGAGGTTCCATCATTACAAACCTGATGACATACCTGGAGGAAAGTTAGCAATTAGATGGCATTTAGACTTCAAATTCTGGTGGCAGTGAGTTGTACTTTACAGAGAGCAGTTAGCAAATGTTCTGAGCCACAAGCCCTAGCCTGGAGGTCAGTGTAATGGAGAAAAAGAGGACAAAACCCCATCAATACAAACACACATGAGTGCACAGGCATTAACCAATCGAACCTCCACACATTCAGCACTTCCAGGCCTTAATAACAGCAGACAGACACAGTGTCAGGATGTATCAATACCATGTACACCCAGCCCAATCAGCTGCACTAACCCCCTGTGAGCTCTCCCACAGCATTACACCATTAGAGAAAAAGTTTTAAACAAATACCATCTGTGTATTGATTTTCAGTGATAAAAATATCAGGTTAAATAAATGGCCCTTTAGAGCAGTATTTCTGATACTCAGGACAGCTGGGAAAAGATGCTTGCAGAGGGATGCAGGAGACTTCTCCTCAGTGTGGAACAGTGGGTGCACTTCCCCGGTCTGCAGCTTTCTAATATGTTGTTACTCTCTCAAACAGTATTTGCAATCCTGCACATGGACAGACTTCCTGCTGCAGAGGTACAGGGCACACAAGCTGTGAATCTGCCCCTCAAAAGCCAGACACAGTCATGGCCAGCAAATCCACTGCATCAATTCCTGTGCAGGGTCATGAAAAGGACTGAAAGTTCACCAAAAACACAGCATTTGCCTCTCCCTGCACAGCATGATGGGCTGGATTACCACTAATGTGAATGAATTAATTATTTGTAAACAGTGGCTTCCTATGTAGATGCAATCACAAAAATAATACTGACATTATTTGACCCTATTCGCATTGCTAGGATGTACTTTAAGGCAATTAAACTCCTACAAAGTTGTGGGGTCTGCTTTACCTCCAAAAGAGAGAATGGAACTTAGCAGTCACCACCACCCTCACTTGGTTTGATGTTTCAGATCCAGGCTCTCTCTGCTATCCCACATAACATTTCCATTGATAACCCCACTGTGCTGCTTTCACTCAGAGCTCTTCAACTCATTACAGGAACTAATGAGTCTGAAAAGTAATAAGAAATCTCCAGGAACAGGAGAAATGTCCTTGTATCCCCTTTACAAACTAAACCAACTGGACAAATATTTGGAGTACTCTGTGGGAGGGCATTGATAGGGCAAAAGAAATAAAGTTCCAGGATAGTGTTCTGAGCATTTGCTTTGCTGAGCTGAACATATGACTTAATAAGTACATGGGGGGTAGAGGGGTGAGAGAATCTCACCAAATGAATAAAAGACAATTCCCTTTCACTGCTTGGTTTGTGTATTTAAGGACTCCTGAGAAGTTAGCTTTGCACAGGATTCAAGTTTCCTGCATTCATGCTCTCTGCTCAGCCTCAGAAAAGGGACACGGCCTCCTTGCTGTCTCTCCAGTGGAGCAGAAGAATTGGAAACTGCAGAGCAAGCAAGCTGCTAGCCCACCTTCAGTGCTTCTTCAGCTCCAGCCCGTGGCTCTGCATAAGCATTGCACAAGGCCTTATGAAGAGATCAAAGGAGATGCTGAACCCTGAACAGTCTCTTTCTTATCAAATAAATGCTTGAGGAAATAAAGCCTCAAGAATGCGAGGCACTGCATTCAGTTAGCATCTTCATAGCCTATAGAAGACAGAGAGTGGCAAGCAGCCAAGAGAAAGAGGTGAAATTTCTGCCTGGAGCTTTTAAAGACCAATTTCCTCCATGCTACAAAAATTATTTGAAATCAAGCTTCTGCTCCAGATTTCGGGACACACACTTTCCACAGCAAGATGCATCAGCACAGGAAAATGGAGCCTGTGGACCTCATCTGGTCCTCCAGGTCACCACCCTGCAGCCAGCCTCCCCCAGAACACACTTCAAGCTACTGCAGGACCTCAGAGAAAGCCCTTCTATTTCTCCTGAAAACCAAGGTTCAAAACAACACAGAATGCAGGATGGTTTAATATTCAGATTACATTCTGCAGCAAAAGGTGAATGAGAGGTTAAATTTTCTTCTCTCTTATTAAAGCACATTAGAGGACTGTTCTGACAAAATGTGGTTGATGGCTTTCCTCTCTGGGAGCCCAACAATCTATCAATGAACTCATTAATCCAATGACAGCTAAGTGAAGTAAAGTTTAGCCTCTGCAACTTCATGGAACAGGATTTCAGAGTCAATCATACAGCAACAGCAAAGGCAGCAAGATTTCTATTCAATTTTCACACCCCTTGAGTATGTCAGAAACTCAGCAACCAAAGCTCCCTTTGCTCTCCATGAGATGAGTGACCTGCACTTCAAGGCCCACGGTCACAGAATATGCTGAACAGTGTGGAACTCAACAAAACAGCTTTGTTGAAACAGGGCACAATCCAACATGAGAGGGGGAACCAGGATCTGACCTTGTACAGCTGATCCCACTGTGCTTTTCTACAATGGAGTGTTTCTAGGATGAAATTCCCAGGGTTTTTTGCCAGCCCCTAGCTGGTATCTCCCATGGGGTCCCTCCCATGACTGTTTAATGTAGGTATAAAAGCAGTTTACACCAGGATTCTTGCTACTGTCTCCACTGGTAATGGGGAGGGGAAGAGTTTATAAAGAAT